TACGGACCAATATTCGATTTAGCCAAGATGACTCATATGATTGCTTGGAAAATGCGCCCATATATATAATTAGGCCAATGGATTTAAGATTCAAGTTTCCTTAATCCAAATTCCAGATAAATAGATCATCCGGGAGATAAGTTTAGATCATCCGGATTCCAAAAAAAAATAAAGGTTTTTTCGAAACTTTTGAAAAAATAAGATAACTGATAACTTTTGGAAATTAATAATATTGGCTGAAGAATATTCAAATAACCGAGACGCATCTTTAATTTGAAATTTTTTTTAGAAATTTGTATGTCTATTTTCTTGCAATTAATTTAATTATGAATGGAGTAAAATGATCAGACAGTTATTCTGTACCATCACCTATTATAGATATGAGTCATAATTAATATTCTTTTATCTGAATGGAGTGAAATAGATCAAATCAATGGCCAATTGAATGCTACATCTTTAACTATTTTTTATGTGCTTTGAATTCTAAGATTGTATGTTAGTATACCATTGTCACTATGGCAGAAAATTTGGAATAAATTACACAACTACATATAAAGGTAAGTGAAGTCAAGCAATCGAGGTGAATATTTTATAATAATTTTGAACTATGCAATGAAATCTTATAAGATGATCTTAGACATGTATATTATGTTTTACTTAAACTATAAAATCATTACTATACTTAGATAAATAATTTTTTTAAACTTTGAAAAGTCAATAAAATTCTTATAGTTGTCTATTCATAAATTTGATGCCAAAGTCATTGCTTAAATCTGAAGATATGGAGAAATAAGATTTCTTAGTAGATATTTGAAGAGTGATGAGTTTACAAGAAATTTGAAATCAACTACAGCGTAATCATCAAACATCAGATAAAAATGGACAAAGGTAAACATAGTAGAATGTCAGATTTTCTCTGACGTATTATTTTGGGTGTAACAAATTCAGACTATGAAAAATAGTACCCTTCTAATTTGAAAACTATTCCTATAAAGGAAAAGGTAAAGCTAAGCAAATTGTGAAAAGGGTAAGATGATATAAAAGAAAAAAATCTCCTAGGCAACCCTAGTTTCTGAATCATCAAACCAAAGAGCAGGTATCGAGTTTATAGTCGTGTTTGTGTATTTTAATGTGTTGTAGTTAATGCATGCGCATATATGTTCCTTATTTTTTTTGTTCAATTTAATGTTTTTTTTGTGTTATTTTTTATGTTTTTTGTATTCATTCTTATTTTATTTTTTTCTTTATGTTTTGTGATTTATCTCGGCAACTATACACAACAAATTATTGCCTCACATTAATATTTCCTTAAGAGAAATAAATCAACTTCTCTCAATTTTTTGTTAAATGAAAACTTTACATTCTTTTAGCCTAAAAAATTAGTAAGCAGTGATTGACTTTCATAAATCAGTTACAAGGAAGAAACGTCGATGATTGTCTCTCTTCTTCTAACTCCTTTTTGTGGTGTATTTTCTTTTTGAAGCAAAATCTATTTCAAATTTAAATTTGGACTTTGAGAATTGAGAAAATATTCAATCTTCTTACAGTACTTTAATCTCATATGATAAATAATGTCAAAAGTCATTAAATCTCTTTTAAAGCATTCTTGATTATGTTTTACCATTTATGCATATCGAATATGATTGCTATTTAGTGTTTTTATTCTTCTTATATTAGAGAGTGAGTTTATTCTTCTCTAATATCTCAAAGATATTCATCACAAACTGAGAATTTTTTAAGGTTTCGAAAAGGGAAGCTTAGCTTTGCAAAATGTATAAGAGACATATAAATGAGGTCTACTAGAAAAACTGAAAAGATGTGTTAATGATCGCCAAAATAATTGAAAGATTATATAATAGTGTATTAAATAATTCAAAAAGATTGTGTTAAATGAGGCACCAAACAACTAACGATGAGGACAATGAGCCCACAAGAAATTAAAGCTTAATTTTCTTTCAAATCTTAAAGTCTTAAGAAGATCATGTTGCCTACTTGATACTTCAACATCATAATTTTTAAAAAATTTACAATTATGGTTGATACCTTGTAATATTACTCTATAGTTTTTTTTTTTTTGAAAAGAAGTTTGAAACAAATCACTTTTTTTATAGATTTATTGTTTTGAATTTGATTTTATTTTAAAATGACTTTAAACTGTAAGGAGTCCAAGAGCTAGGGTTGATAAAATTCAAATTTTTAAATATTTTCTATATCTTAGTGATATCAATTCATCCTTACTGTTATTTAAATAAAATTTAAGAGGTAACTTTCTCAATTTCAAGAAAATTAACTGAAATTAATTTGATTCTTTTAATACATTAACATCACCCCCCCACTAATTAAATGGGTCGTTTTCTTTCATTTGTTGTTATGTGTTTCTTTTTCTATTACTTCTCCTTCTTTTTATAACATCAAAGGGGGAGAAACTAGTTGTATTTTTGTGTAAGTATATAATGTTCATTATGTATTTATTTTAAGTTTATCTAATTTTGTTGTTTTTTTAAATCTTTTTTTATTAAAAAAAAACCGTTTTTTAATTTCCCCTACTTTAAATATAAGTATTCTTAATGAGCGGAGATCTAGGAGAGAAATATTTTTAAAATTGTAAATTCAACAAATAATATTTTTCATCATCAAAAAGGGGGAAGATTGTTGCAACTCGAGCTTATGAATTTATTTTTTAATGATAACTAAATTGTAGCTCACGATCTTTTTATATTGCTTTATTTGCAAATATAATTTTGATTGGTGTGTACTAACTTTTTCAGGAACTTTCATAACACCGATCAAATGAAAGATTTCAAAGTTCAAGATTGAGTAAGAATGGGCTATGTTGTATAATTTTTTGTAAATATTAATTATGTCAAATTTTTGAATTTATTGAGTCAAGTCATATAAGGGTGTATACTTTCTTGTG